GCTGGCTGCGAATTCAGGGGTTCCCTCTCACTTCAGCATACTGGCTGTGAGCTCAGCAGTCCCTTGGACCTCCTCACTCCTGACCTGCTTCCTCCCACCTGCCCTAGGGTTCAGGGAATTGCTGGAATGGCTCTCAGGATTCAACAAAGCACTGTGCTTAATGATGACTGTTTTTTGATACTAAGAATAGTGCAAATGAAGAGACAGGGAGAGGCCTAGGGAAGATTGCAGTACAGAGCTTCCATGTTCCCAAAGGCACTGCCCTCACACTGTTAACTATCTTTCACCAACTGAGAAGCCCCTGAAATTTTCTTGCCCAGGACCTTCACTGAGGCCTCACGGCACAGGCATGGCTGATGGATTCAGCCCACCTCTTCCAAGGTCAGCTACGAACACCTGGTTGGTTTTTGAGACCAGCTCCAGGATGGGTCACCTTATTGGCCTAAACCCTCAGATAGGATCTGGAAACCTATAGATAACAAAAGCATCTTAGTTAGTTGGGAAATTCCAAAGGTTTAGGATTATTTCAAGGGGCCTTGGTGGCCTTGGGGGTAAGCTGTCAGCTGCTAACAAAAAGGCCTGTTATTTGAAATCACCAGCTATTCCCTAGAAGTAAGGTGTGGCAACCTCTTTCTATAAAGGTTTACGTTTTGGAAACCCTACCCTGTCCTGAGGGCCACTAAGGAATCCAGGAAGATGACCAAATTCTTGGGGTAAAGGTAATGAAAACCCCATACACTCCTAAGAGAGAGACATGCTTTGCGCTTTCACATACACCAAGAAAGATCATCTGGTTTGTTTCAAATTGAATTTCAGAATTTTGGTTAAATAACACAATTTTGGCTTTAATAAAAGATCATCACTCTGGCATATAACTATGCTAAGAAAATGAGTCTTAGAACGTCTTAGGTCTCTTTTTCTGAGAGAAAAACCCCTTCATTGGATTTCTGAGGCTGTAAATCTTTAAGCCTGGAGAAAAGATTGAGGTTAACAATTTCATCTTGCTCAGATCCACAATCAACACTCTTGACACCAGCAGTCAGGAAATCAAAAGACAAGTTGCTTTCTGCTGTCAGGGACCTCTCCTTTACAGTGCTAAAGAGCAACAATGTCAGTCTAGAGACTAAGGTGCACCTGGTCCAGGCTCTGACCTTCTCAAATGCTTATTATTCATCTGAGATCTGGACAATGAATAAGGAAAGATTGGTGCCTTTGAGCCATGGCGCTGGAGAAGAGTATAAAACATACATACATACACATGGACTGCTACGAGAACAAACAGGTCTGTCGAGAGGGTGAAACCAAGTTGCTCCTTGTAGGCAAGAATTTTGAAACTCCATCTGACATACTTTGGGCATGAAGCCAGGAGGGACCAGTCCTTGGAGAAGGACATCATGCTTGGAAGGGTAGAGGGTAAATCACACAGGAGAGGAAGACCCTCGATGAGATGGATTGACACAGTGACTGTGGCAATGGGGCCAAGTGTGTGAGAAACGGTTAGATTGGCCCAGGATTGGGCAGTTTCAGTACTATTTACTCAACAACAACAGATCTTTCTCTCAGGATAGCTAGGGGTTTCAAACTGCTGACCTTTAGGCTCTTGTCCCACCTGTATAACACAGTGCATCACCAGAGCACAGACTGATCCTCTCACTGGAGTGTTGAGTGAATTTCCCACTGTAGTTATTGTTTTGCTTTGGCATTTTCTTACAGGGTGATATTTTAAACAATTCTTTGTATTTTTTTCTGTCTTTTCACGAGTTGCATTATGAAACTTTAGAACACCTTCTGGAGTCAACGGTATAAAATGTTTAAGAAAGGTTTTATTTTCAAGCAAATCCATTTCTGCAGCAATTTTTTTTGGCACTCGGGAGGAGATTCCAAAGACTTTGGTTTCAGAAAGATGACAGTCTCTAGAAGAAGATTTGGGGAAGGGAGTTGGTAAAATCACTACAGTGAGCTGTCATGTAAGTAAAGACAGTTCTTTCTGAAGGTGAATGGGCCACGTGTCCATTCATCTGTGGTAGGGGCAAAGGTTCTTGACTTGACTGTGATGCAATCTCAGAAGAATGTGGGTTTGGAAAATACCACTTGAGTAATGTTTACAGGTGAAAGTGCCTGTGGCTGCTTTGAACTGATTATATGATTATTTCTCATCGACAGATGGTTAAGTAAAACTCCCATTTTAAAGAGTCTGTTGAATGGAGCCCCTCCCATAAAAACCCCAAGATTACTTCATGTCCTGACCCTTCAAACCTATGAAAGTGACCTTATTTGGGAAAAGGGTGTTTGTAGATGTGTTTGAAATTGAGTTTCCAAGATGAAATCATCCTGGATCATCTGGTGAGCTCCTGCTCCAACTCTACGGTTGTTCTCATGGAGACAGAAGAGGAGGGGGCAGGGTGAAAGGGGAGATGAAGGTGGGCTGCAGTTGTGTACCCACCAGCCCAGGAGCTGGGAACCACCAGAGCTCCAGGGAGGGAGAGCCTTCGGAGGGAAGGTGCCTCTAGAGTACCTTGATTGTGGGCTTCCAGCCTCTAGAACGGTGAGCGAATGTCTGTTGTTGAAGCCTTCTGCTTTGTGGTCATGTGTTACAGCAGCCCTTGGAAACGAACACAAAACACTATCCACTGTCTCCAGCTGATTCAGGCTCATAGAGACTTCAGTCCACCCTCCCACCTCCATGGAGTACCTGAGACTGGAAGTCATTATGAGAGTAGACAATTTATTTTTTCCTGAGGAATAGATGGTAGATTCAAACCAATGACTTTTTCAGCAGCAGGTGACAAGTTACGTACTATGCCGTCAGGTCTCCTTAATACAAAATAGATACTCATTTAATGATTTGGCAAACTGAGACTGTGGGGAGTTTAATCAACCCAGTAGCTGTTGAGTTGGTTCTGACTCCTGGTGACCCTATGAGTGTCAGAATAGAATTGTCTCCACAGGATTTTCAAGTCTGTGACCTCTGAAGGCCAATCACCAGGCTTGTCTTCTGAGAGAAGCTGTTAGGTGGATTTGAACCTCCAGCCCTATGGTTTAAAGAGTTAAGTGCATTAACTATTTACATAACTCGAGGCCTCCTTAAAAATATTCTGGCTGTATGAAAAAACAAAGACATTAAGAACAAAGCTGATTGGCTGCTGTTAGGCTGCAGTTCAGAAGGCTGTAGGATTCGTGACCACATGCTCTGTCCAAAAGGGCAACCTTTTCTTATCTCTGGAAAGTTACTGGCAAGGGACTGAAGGAACCGAAGGTGGTGCCAGATCTTCTGATTTTTAAAGAGAAGCTGGAAATCTGAATTTTTATGTAAATCTTCTGATTTTTAAATAAGCAACTAATACACAAAAAGAAAACCTGAAACCAAATATCTGTCTGTATCTCTCTCTGTATTCTTTTTTCAGTTTGCTGTACTGTGGTAGCTTGTGTGTTGCAGTAATGCTGGAAGCTGTGTCACTGGTGTGTTGGCATTGTACATACCAGCAGACTCAGCAGGGTGGACAGATTTCAGAGGAGTTGGAATAGGAAGCAAGGCTTGGCATCCACTTCTGAAGGGATGGGCCTATAAAAACCCTATGAATAGCAGCAGAACCTTGTCTGATAATGTGCTGAAAGATGAGGCCCCTCAGACTGGAAGGCAGTCAGATTAGAACTGGGGGAGAGTAGACATGTACCTGTAAACACCGTGTCTGTACGTGTGTGAAACAAACACATCGGAAGAACACAAGGACTCATGGCTTCAGCTGTGGTGGGAGTGACTCTCTAAGGATGTCAAAGTGGTGGTTGAATCACTCCATGTAAGCATTTCTTTATTTATATATTTATTTCTGTTTTGAATCTTTAAAAAGTCTCCAACCTGACTGGAAATGGAAGGTTCATTAAAGGCCTCACAAGATGTCAATGCTTTGCTCAGTCTGTTTGGCAGAATTTAACCATTCGGAGACAGTTTTAACATGTTAAATATTTTATTCACAGTGTTTACAAACTATATCCACCTGGAAAACACATGAATCCAAAAATAGATTATTTTACAGTCATTCACATTTTTATTTTTCCTTTTACACAAGTTAGCTTTTCAAGTTGAATTAGGAGTGTGGAGGTCTTGGGCCTGTTCAGTGCCTCTTCACATGACGCTTCCTGCTGTGGTGAGTGGAGCCAGTGGGCAGTGCACCTCCTTGGAGGCCCACCATGACTAAGAATCAAGCGTCAGTGCAGACTTGAACCGTGAGCATTCACTGGTGTTAATTCACTGCCACTATCTTTGCCAAGGAAGTGTGTGATTTGGAGCTTGTATATACGCATCAGATAGGAAAACAAGAGAGTCTGGTCATTTAACTGGCCATCACAGAGTTGTCAGGACATTTCCAGTTTAGGGAGGTGGACCATCTTGGCCACAGATGCAATCAATGTATTATAATCTCATCATTTGGGTGACTTAAATCACAGAAGCAGTAGTAATTTGGAAACTGATACACCTGTCTGTTGACTAACTTCTTGTCTGATTCTAGCAACCAGTTAGGAGAAGAGGACAAACTCAAGGACCTTAGCAGTGTGGCTCACTTTCAGTGTGTAATCCTGGAAAGCTGACCAGAGAAGTTTTCCTGAGTGGTCAGAAAGCTGCCCTGGTAGGAAACTTGGTAAAAATGAATGCTAAATCCAATGAATTTATCCAGCCTGATAGCTGAACTCTTATTAATGAAGAATTTCTTCAATAGAATCTGAGTTTAATGATATAGAATAAATGACAAAAAAAAAAAGCTCTTTCTCCTTGGTGAACATCCACAGTCAAACATGGAAAAATTTCTGGACCTTTAGGATGGGAGTCTGGAACGAGGGTGTAATGGCAGAATTCATTCATTTTTTTAAAATAGTTTCATTTTGGGCAGTAGCATTGTTTATTGTGGCTCTGCAACTCTTGAGGGGGGAATAATGTTTGATAAAGGTACTACTGCAAAAGACTTTCCCCTCCTCACCTCCCAAACAAAACATGCTTGTGAGGGCTGCTACCACCCCCTCCCCAAGTAGACAGCAACAGCTCTGTACCTAAATGTGACCTGAGAGGTGGGGACATTTTATCAGCACATTTGTATGTTTTAAAAAAGAAAAAAAGAAAGAAAGGACGTCCAAACGTCTATTGCAATCTGATTGTTTTAAAAGACAAAAATCCGTACAGTAAGCTTGACGCATGGAGTAGATCATAGCTTGTCTTCCTGCCACCCGTGTGAATTTTTTCCAAATTTGTACACTAACCTTCGGTCCACCCGTTCCAAAATTCCTGTTTTGTAGTAGTATCTGAAAGATAGAAGAAGAGAAATGTGAGGAGGATTAGCACGTCAGGAAAATAACAGCCATGACTAGCCCTCTGCTTCTGGTCCTCTGGTGACAGGGCTGGTTTCTGGTTACGCTGGTATCTCCACACCCTGTTATCAGCTTACACTTAAACCTTTCCCAGACAGCTTGAAGAGTGAATTTTACTGTACTCAGTTTGGAATGCTCTGTGTGTGTGTGTGTGTGTGTGTGTGTGTGTGTGTGTGTGTAAAGATAGTGCCAGGGTTCAGATTGAAGCCTGGGGAACACTGCCAGGAACAAAAATGGTGGCATGTCGATTTACAAACCATAATTGTTGCTGTAACTGAGAACCCAAGTTTTGTCTGATGCCTTTTTGATGATCGAGTTAAAAGCTATAAAACGAGGGAGCTATGGGGGCCTCATGGCAAGAAGCTGCACTGCAATCCCAGAGACATGCGGTTTGAATCCACCAGATGCTCTGCTGAAGAAGGAGGGGCAATCTCCTCCTGTACCAGTCGCACTGATTTGACAGTACACACACACACAAAACAATAAAATTTTTTAAAAAAAGAAAGCTGTGAAACTGGTGTAGGTTTTGCATAACTTGACTTGAAGGTTCACGGTCACGCAAGCTCTTCACTTACCTCAGAGCTCTGCTCAACTTTTCGTACGTCATCCTGTCATTTTTCTTCCGTTGTCCCCACATCTTGGCCAGGGCTTCTGATTTAACCACCCGAAAAATGCCTTGTTCCCTATCTTCCCATTCCAGAATGCCGCAGTTTTCTTCAGGGGAGAGGAGCAAGTCTCGCACAAATTCCCAGAGGTGAGAGCTTTGGAGGCCTTTTTTTTGGAGGAGAAAAAGATAAGTTTAGTTTTTAAATATTTTCTTTTTTTTAATTAAATTTTTTATTTTAATTATTTCATGTGTGTGTACCACCAAATCAGATCTGACTGGTACAGGAGGAGATTGCCCCTCCTTCTCCAGCAGAGCATCTGGTGGTTTTGAACCACATACCTCTGGGATTGCAGTGCAGCTTCTTGCCATTAGGCCACCAGAGCTCACTAATGTATTCTTTTTGAGAGAAGGGCTATACCACTTTTCCTTGTTAGTTGTTGAGTCAACTCTTACTCATAGTGACCTCACGTTCCACAGAACTACAATTACATCCTGCAACATCTTCACAGCCACTGTTCAACTTCCAGTATTGTATCAGACAATATTCTGTTGTGATCCATTTGGTTTTCCTTGGATAGTTTTTGGAAGTAGGTCATCAGACCTTTCTTTCTTTTTACTCTTTCTTATTATGGACCAAATCTTTTGCTCTAGAATAAATTTCAACTCATCGAGACCCTATAGATCACAGTAGAACCACCGCATAGAGTTTCTGAGGCTGTGAGTAGCTTTTTGTGGCAGCAGACTGCCCCTTCCTTCTCCCGTGGAGCCTCTGTGGGGTCAAGTGGCCGTCCTTTTGGTTAGGAGCCCACAAGGGCTCCCTATTTTTGTCTGTGAGTGTCACTCTGCTCACTGTGGGTAACCCTTTCAGCATCAAAGTGACATCAAAGTCACCACAGAGTTACATACCCATGAAAATGGCTTTGTGGGGGATTATTGTCCTTACATCTGACTAAACATCCAGCTTCTTCTTGTTCTGTGCTATCGAGTCAACTATGACTCATAGAAACCCTGAGTGCAATGGCTCTGAATCCTGCCCTATCCTCAGCCGGCTTCACTGTCTCTGATACCCCTGAATGCACTGTCACAGTCATTGTGTCAATCTATCGCATCCAGGCATCATGATTTTTTAAATGTCTGTCTTCTAGCAAGGCAGTTGCAAACGTAGACGCTAAATTTGTATTTGCTGATACAAGGCTCACACTTGTGTGGAACTGCAAGTGTAATGTTCATGGGATTAATGAAATGATACTCAAATGGTCTTCTTTCTGGTAAGTCTGGTAGTTTTACTGGGATTCCTAGCTCCGACTGTAATTGTCCTACAATTACTTTATCATGACAGGTGAATATTTTTTTTCTCCTTTTGTCATGGTAAAGACTGGTTCTGGAGTCCAAACGCCTTGGTCTGGGTTCCAACATCACCTCTCCTAGCTCTGTGATCTTTCTAACTCATCTCTAAGAAAGGTTGATAATTATTCACCATCGCAAGAACATGGAAACAGCCCAAATGTCCAACCACAAATGAATGGATTGAGAAATTATGGTACATTCACACAATGGAATACTGTGCAGCAAGCAGGAACAACAATTTTCTAAATTACTACCTAACTTGGGAGGGACTAGAGAGCATTATGCTGAGAGAATTAACTCAGTCCCACAAGGATAAATATTGTATAAAACCATTATTGTAGAATGACTGTAAGGATCCAGGAGGGGTGAGAGAGGCTGGAAGCAGAGGGATGTGGTTGTGCAGCGGGAGGGGAGGATTAATCACTGGGTTGTACAGTTTGATGGGGGGTGGTGAGGGAAATTGAAAGAATTTGTTCGAATTTGTATTCTAATTTTGTAAATAAACTAGTAGGAAATGAAAAAGGGGGGGAGATTTGTTGTTGTTGAGTGCCATAGAGTCAGAACCAACTCATAGCTGACCCTCCAGCAGGTTTTCAGAGGCAGTGCACACAGAAGGAGACTGCCCATCTTTCTCCTGTGGAGCAGCTTGGGGGTTCAAATCGTGCACTTTTGGGTTGACCGTGCTATGCCTTACCGCTAAGCTGCCGGAGCTCCCATCTACCTGTGAGGATTTGGTGATGTTCTCACTTGTCATGTGTTAGAGTCATGCCTGGTAGACATTGTTTCCTATACTCATCTGAATTGTGAAATTGCAAGCTCAATTTTTCTGGGTAAAGCCTAATGGAATTGTCAACTCAGGACTCACTGTAGACTTTTAGACCCAAGGGAAATAACCCTCTTGTATAGAAATGCAACATGGAAACATTTCCGTTTCCTCACAGTAATTCTTGTAATACCATTTCCAAGTGGAATGGAATAAAAGAAATTTGATTTTTATACCATTTCTACCATGTGGATAATGTCACCGCTGTGTTCTTCTTTCCTTGGGAAATAACTGGGAGCCACCGGTTTTATTCTGAAGCTTACTGAAGCAGATTGCTTTGCCTCGTGAATGGCTGCAGACACTGGAAATGAAAAATAGCTCCTCTCCACTTACTTGTCCGACTGTGACCCTGGCAGTCTTGGCTTTTGATGCCACCTGTTTTCAAACAACTGGAGTCAGCATCTGAAATAGAATAATTTACAGCCATGCAAAGGAATTTAGAAACCTTATTTAGACTTCAGAGCACACCCAAATGAGCAAGCATTAATTGAAAGCCTTTGTTGTAAGAGACACCGTATTGCATGCTTCAGGGCTAATTGCTGTTGTTTTAATTTTTTTAATACTTTTTTTTTCTTTTTGTGTACCATCAAATCAGATCTGACTGGCACAGGAGGAGATTGTCCCTCCTTCTCCAGCAGAGTGTCTGGTGGGTTTGAACCGTGCACCTTCAGGATTGCAGCAACAAACAAAAAACAACAACAAGCAGCTTTTTGCCACTAGGCCACCAAAGCTTCCTGCTAATTGTTGTGATGTGCTGTCGAGTCAACTACGACTCATAGCAACTCATAGCTCTGAACTTTGCGCTATCCTGAGCCAGTCTCACTGTCTCCAACACACTAACCCCAATCACTGTGTCAATCCATCTCATCCAGGGTCTTCCTCTCCTGTGCTGTCCCTCTATCCTTCCATGCATGATGTCCTTCTCCAAGGACTTGTCCCTTCTAGAGCGACATGCCCAAAGTATGTCAGATGGAGCTTCAGAATCCTTGCCTCCAAGGAGCAACTTGGGGGTCATTAGTATTAAGAAATAGACCCTAATTGTGCAATGATTAAGCTTGACTACTATCTGAAAGGCGAGTCATCCAGCAATCTTTCAGAGAAAGACCTGTAGTCAGCGTGTCAGCTCATCTCCTTCAGAGTCTGCCCCTCCTTTTACAGCTTGATATCCTCTTCCAGGGAGTGGTGCCTCTTTGAACTAAGAGTCTGAGTCCTTTTCTGGCTCATGGCTCTATTACCAGCTGATTTCTGCTAGATGCTGAATGCTTTAGCAAGTGCTTCACATATCTTTTCAATCCTCACAACTATCCCATGTACTATTGTTATTGAAGTTTAGGGAGTTTAAGAATTTTTTTACTTTTTATTGTTATTATATTTTGTGTGTGTACTGTCAAATCAGATCTGACTGGTACAAGAGGAGATTGCCCCTCCTCCAGGAGTTTAAGAATTTTACTCAAAGTAGTATCAGGGTGATCCTGTTCCAAAGCTAATCTTCACTACTACTGCTGCTGCTGCTGCTGTTACATCTTCATAGTTATTATGTGCTATCAAGCTGGAACTGATAGCTGACTCCCCAGTACATTTTTTCAGAGGCTGTAAATCACATAGGCCATGTGATTCAGGCAATGGCCTTTCTGATCACTTGCTATGCATTTGAGAGCTGGACAATGAATAAGGATGACAGAAGAAGAATAGATGCCTTTGAACTGTGGTGTTGGAGAAGAGCACTGAATATCCCATGGATGGCTAAAAGAACAAACAAACATGTGTTGGGGAAAGTGCAGCCAGAGAGTGTTCCTTGGAGGCAAGGCTGATAAATTGTTATCTCACACACTTTGGGAACATTGCGAGGAGAGACTATTTCTTGGAGAAGGGCATCATGCTTGGGAAGGTGGATAGTCAGTGAAAGAGAGGAAGACCCTCAACTAGATGGAATAACACAGTGACTGCCACAGTGGGATTTAGTGTGTCAAATCTGTTGTTTTGAGAGTCACTAGGGATTGTATTCAACTCGGTGGCACCTAACAACAACAACAACAACAACAACAACAACAAATCACATAGGTGGAGATTTTCCATCTTTCTCCCTCAGATTAGACAGTGGATTCAAACCACAGGCCTTTAGGTTGGCAGTGAAACTCCTTACTACTAGGCCACCACAGTTCCCTGGTCTTCATAGTAGATATTTAAAGCATAAATGAAAGTAATTCTTTCAATGCTTAGTCTCATTCTATGAATAAAATAATTTTATTGTTTGGATATGTTACAGTTTGCTTACTCATTCACTTTTTAAAAAATCTGTTTTTCATGTTATTTTCTTCTCTTTCATTTGTTCACTCTTGTACATTTTATCTCCTTCCCTCCTGCTCCACAGCCCACCCCACAAAGCACTCCTTGTTCTAAATTATTTATGTATGTATAATGCATCAACATGGGGGGAGACTTGAGGACATCATGCTAAGGGAAATATCTTAGTCACAAAAAGACCAAAATGGCATAACCTTGCTGTTATAAAATAGGACAGATGGAATGGGACTGGGTAAAGAATGGATAGATAATGAACACACCATTAGAACAGAGGAGGAGAGAAACTGTTTCGGAGACTTTTTGATGTTTGGTATTACCAGCTCAATCTCACATATCTACTGTTGTTAGGTGTCTTTGAGTCTATTCCAACTCATAGTGACCCCGTGTGACAGAGTAGAACTGTCCCATGGGGCTTTCTTGACTAGAGATTGCCAGGTTTTCCTCCCATCGAGCTCTTGGGTTCAATCTGCCAAACTTTCAGTTAGTAGCCAAACATCAAACAGAACTTCTTGTAAGTCTGATAATATACTCATTTTACAGATAAGAAAAATGAACTATAGAGAGTTTAGATAGCAAGCTCATTTGCATGCCAGTCATTTATTTCCTCACAATCATTTGTCAGCCATACTATAACCACTGTACGTATAGTGGGAAACAAAACAAATTCTCTTCTTTGAGGGGATTACATTCAAGTTGATAGAACAGTCAATGATAAATATGTATTATTTCAGTTGGTGATGATTGCTAGGGAGAATATATGGCAGAGTGGCAAGATGTGGTGATGGTGATGTTACTTCTTTAAGTATGGTTGGTTGATAGGGAAGTTTGCTCTGATAGAGGTACTTCCTAAAGCAGGAGGCGAGTGAGTCTTGGGGGTGCCTCAGGGAGACATGGCTTGAATCATGTGCAGAGCCAATGGTCGTGGTGACCTCTGCTTACCTTCCTTTGTCAGAGCTTACTCTTTGATAACAATAGTGCATTGCTCACTGCAATCAAAATGAACTAAACACACGCCTTCAAATTCTAGGATGCCTTAGGTATTTTCTCAGGAACTGGACTGATGTGGACAAAAAGGCCCACATACATGTAGGCACCCACTGTCCCTGGTTACAAACAAGATCTGTCCCTAAGTGTCTCTTTAAGTCGAATTTGTAGGTTAAGTGAAAGCAGGTGCAGATGGTCCTTGTTTAGCCCTCCTCTTAGTTCAGAAAGGCAGTTCCCATGATGTAATCCATAACGAGTCGTGCTGCGAGTCCAAAGGCAGTGCCTTTCTGGCGGTTCGAATCCACCAACATGATTGGCATGAGATTTACAGCCTCTGATAACCTGCTGGAGGGTCAGATATGAGTCAGTTCAGTCTCAAAGGCAATGAGTCATAGTAGTTAGTGCAATAAAGGGAGCACTGATGACATGGTATGTAAACACTGAGGCTGCTAGCCAAAAAGGTTGGCAGTTCGAATCCACCAGCTACATTCTTCAGAACCAAGATGGGCAGCCTCCTCTGGTAAAGATTTAGACACAGTGGAGGGTGAATGTGTAAGAATCTACTGGAAGGCAGTGGGATTGGTTTTAGGGTTTTGGTTAATGCAATAAAAGACTTAAAAGCTTTTCAAAGATTTAAAAAAAATCACACATGCAGCAAGTGAAGGCAATTGTAAAGAAGAATTTAGTTGTAGTTTCAATTTGGTTGAGTCATTTCAAAGTGCAGGTGCACAGCATTAAAGGACAGGAAGGGGTTGTCTAGAATTGGACATTCATTCCCCGGGGACTCACTACATGTACAAACCACAAATGAGTGCCCAGGTGAGACTCCTCAACAATGGAGGTGAACAGGGGTGGCCCTGCTGAGGAGGGCTGACAGCTGACTGGTCATGATCAAGGGTTCTGATCGTTGGTCTGACCAAATGCCAGGCTGCACTGTACCACCTACCAAGCACATTTTAAAAGAATCTTTTAAGATGGGAGAAAACCAATGGAGTAATAAAGATAAATGAAGGTGAATGATTAACCAGCGAATAGGCAAAACAACCCCCCAAATGCCAAACTGGAAAGAAGCAGGAGGGAAAGGCACCTGTTTAGTTATTATTTTCCACATATATTGGAATAAAAAAAAAAATCACCTCTCCGTCATCGCCATCGAGTCAGAACCAACTCGTAGGCGCCCCTCTGCTGGGTTTCTGAGGTGGTAAATGGAGGAGGCTGCCCATCATTTACCCTTGGAGCTGCTGGTGGATTTGTTCCACTAGAGAGTTGCCCCCTGTGGGATAACAGCACAACTCCCAAAGGACTACACCCTAGATCTCCCTTGTTTGGAATCAAAGGACCCTCGTTAATCTCTGCAAGCTCCATGCTTGGCTCTGAGACCGTCTCCTAGTCGGTGCTCAGGAAGTGTTTGTTGAATGAGTGGGAAAAGAAAGAAATGGGTGAAGGGAACAAAGGAGTTAAGGGTCCTGGATTCAGACGCACCTGGGCCATCTGCCACCTTCCCTCTCTATCACCTTTAACCTCTAAACCTTGGTACCTACATCTATCAAGGGCTATGGGACTATAGCCTTTTAGGGTAATTGAGAGAACTACTTAAGACAATTTCAAGTAAGATTTTAGCACAAGATCTGGCTTATCATAAGCACTCACCAGAGCCTGTTATTAGCATTACTGTTAAATCCTTGAGTCTAGTCACGGCGAGTTATATATTCAGGTAACATTTGTTTCTAGAGAACTGGGGAAGAGAAAAATCTCTTCCTTGCTCATTGTCTTTTTTCATACATTGTTAGGAAGGCAGACTGGCATTGTACTCAGAGAGTGAGAACAAATTCCAGGTCTCTTCAATGCCGTTCCTGCCAATACCGCGAGCTCTGGTCTTAGGACACAGATGTTGACATGGCCTCTTGTGGGGCTCATTTCTTCCGAGCGCTCTGCTCTGTTGGTTTGGCCAGTGAAGGCTGGAGTGTGCATGGTCAAGGTCAAGATCTGGGAGGATTCCACCATACCAGGAATCAGTTCAGAGCTGTACTGGATGGTGGGAGGGGATCCTGCTGTGGACCTGAGCATGGCACCAGTAAGTACATCAGCTGCCGTGGAATCATTTCCAACTCATGACAATGGTTAAGCAGATCTTAATTCTGAGCTGCTGTTGGGTGGATTTGAACCTCCAATCTTTCAGTTGGCAGTTGAATATGTTAGCCATTTGCCTCACCCAGGGACTCCTTGAGGAAAGGATCCTTGCAGAAAGGAGAGCTGCTTTGGAAAGGGCTTTCTGAGTGGAGCATTCCTGCTTAGATGTGGTCCACAGACCTGGCTATTTTTATGCCAAAATTTGGTTTGCTTAACTGGAAGCCAAATACCCTGACTTCTTAGTATATTGTTTGATACTTGATATTAAAGAGAATAAAAATATATTAGAATAAACAGTTAAATAGCTCCCCCTTGCCCCTGGGGCTCATATGTCTCAGAGGTCTTAGAAAGCTTCATATGATCAGCCTTCTCTTTGTAGAATGCGCAGAAGCCCATGAGAAAAGGGATCTGTGTACAGTACCTCCTGGTCCCAGGCTGGGGCTTTTGTGTGGGATGCAATAGTGTACAGAAATCATATTTATAAGAAAAGGCTTCAAAGGTCCCTTTCCTAAACCTAATACATTAAGGGTTAATCTTTAGACTCAACAAGGCCATTTGAGATCCTCGGTCACTTGAGAATTCGAAACTCAACCTGCTTAGTGAATTCAGATTCTTCATAACATTGTCAACCACTGGCCTCTAACGTTTAGTAAGCATTGTTAAAGAATGATTATTACTCTTGCTGTTGGCTAATGATTTAGGGGCATATGCACTTCAAGGACACACTAGGTCCAATGTAAGTGCTGTTTCTAAACCTCACATCAGTCATTAAGGAGCACATCATTGTACAGACAGCGAAACCAAGTCTTAATTAACCTCATCTGATTCCAAAGCCCTGTTTCTTTCCACCACCCTTCTAGCCCTACTTATCTTCTCCAAGCCTGAGGTTATTTCAAGTCATTATGCTTTTTATGCTTAAGCTTACTGTCACTGAATCAGTTCTAACTCCTTGTAACCTTCTGCTGGATATTTGAGACTGTAAATTTTAATAGAAGGAGACTTCTCATATTTCATCCTGGGAGCTTCTGGTGGATTTGAACTGCTGAAGTTGCAAACCTTTGGGTTAACCTTGCAATTCACTACGGACTATGCCACCGGAGAACCCTGTCAATCTTTTAGTGTGACCTTAAAAGAAGTCCATGTGTCCAGAACCAGCTTGACAAGATCCTGAATGACCCAGTTACTTACAGTCCTTGATGGTGGCCTTAGTCTCTTCAGCATCATTGAAAAAGGAGTAACCTGGGAAAGAGAGAGAAATCCATGAAGCAAACCATACGATCCTGGTTTCCTACCCTGGGACAGGAGGGGAGATGGGGATTGCAGGATCGGGTAGGGGATAAAGGCAATGACTGAGAACTTTGAGGGAAGTCTAATTTAGAAGGAACTTGGGATATGATCTAATCCATGTAAGGGCCACCATAAAGCTATCCCTGGGGGTGGCCACTTGGAGAGAGTGCACCGCCAGGCATCCCAAGAAGAAGATACATCCTGGCCCGAGAGCTGGGTGCTGGTGGCCTAGTGCTCAGAAGCTGCCCTACCAACCTGAAGGCACGGGGCTCATATCCACCAGCTGCTCTGTGGGAGAAAGATGGGCAATCAATCTCCTCCTGAGTGCTTTACTGCCTCTGAAAACCTGCTGTAGCTCAGTTTGGACTTGCTGGTACAAAATAACAGCTGGACTGAGGTGGCCGATACTGCATGGACCTGGGCAGAGTATCTCAGAACCTGGGCTCATTTTCTTTGTTGGCAACATGAAACTCTTTCTGTTGGCTCTAAGAGACTATAGTCTGGATGTCTGTTATGTTTTGGTCAAGGGCGACAGTCAGCAAGAGAGACCACAATAAGGGCAAAACCCAATGAACGTCAAGTTTAATGAAGATCTAGCAGCTATGTCAGGGCCCCAGCTTCCTCTACGGGATGAAGTCAGCTGGAGTTGAAATAGGAGTTTCAGACCTGGTCTTCTTAGGAAGTAACATGGGCTAAAGAGTGTCTATTTTTTAGCTTTGGGTTAAAGATTAGAACTAATTTTTATTTGCTGAGGAGGTTGGAGCAGAGATTGTTTGTTCCTAGTGTCATTTTGTGTCGTGACATCTCAGTTCAGGGTTCCAGGAGCGAATGACAACAGGATGGAGAACTAATGAGAGGTCCGTCTCTCCTCCACATTGAGGAAGCCATCCTGTGCCCTCTACACTTGCCACTCACCTCTCCGGTTACTCAACCCAGCAACTCAACTCACTGCTGTTGAGTGAGAAATGACTCATAGTTGACCCTCTAATGGGTTTACAGAGGCTGTGAATCATATTGGAGAAGATTACCCATCTTTCTCTGGCTGAGCAGGTGGTAGGTAGATTTGAATTGGTTGTCTTTAGGTTGACAGCACAACTCCTACTAATCTACTAGACCACAGTTCTCCAGTTACTACTGTTACTGTCTTCTGTCGAGTTGGAACCAACTCACAGCTGACCAGCCAGCAAGATTTTAGAGGTAGTAAATGGCATGGGAAGAGATTACCTATCTTTTTCCCTGCAGAGAACCTGGTAGAACCTCATACCTTGTGCTTGCAGCACAATTCCTTACCACTAAGCCACCAGAGCTCCCTTCTAGTGCCCCCAGATCCAACAGCACCAGATCCCAGAATTCCCTCTAGCTCCCTACTTACCAAAATTTACTAGTCCTATGTTCTATTCTGTCAGAGCCTTAATCTGTGGGGTCATTACTACAAGGTCTCAATTATGTGATAAACAGTTAACCATAATTCAGATGGAGCTACTTCTGAGAATGAAAACCAGCGCTGACTGTAGTTATCCAATCTACGATGTTCCACAACTTTTGGGTTGGTACTGCAGCTCCTTTCAAGGCCACCAGAACCCCAGGATCATAGGTGTAAGCAGGATCTGTCCTGGCAAGTTTGAGGTGTATTGTAAGACTGCCCACCTTACACATCTTCTTGTTGTGTGCCATCGAGTAGAAACCAACCCATAGCTGACCCTCCAGTGGGTTTTCAGAGGCAGTAAATGACACAGGAGGAGATTACTCATCCTTCCGCAGAGCAACTGGTGGATTTGAACCCTGTGCATTAGGATGGCAGTGCGGCTTCTAGCCACTAGGCCACCAGAACTCCCTTACACATACATCTTAGAGGAAGAATTTGGGTGGAAGCAAGTTGGTGCTGTAGACAGTTTCACCGCTCAAAGTGCTGTCCCACTTGGCCTGTAAAACCCATAGAGTTGACTCAGACTCATAGTGACCCTACAGCAAGAGTCAAAGTGTTCTCCAGGATTTCCTAGACTGAAATTTGTATGGAATCAGACTTCCTCATCTTTATCCCACAGGAAGGCTGTTTGACCTGAATTGCCAGTCTTGTGGTTGGCAGCCAAACACTTAATCACCAAGTCACTAGGACTTCTTGACCTGCCAAAGTGTCAGAAATTCTACCATTAAAGAGAGTACTGTGACCTTAATGAGACCATAGCACAATTTAGGGGCTGTTAAAAGCAGCTGGGAGGTCTGGTGGACCAGTCCATAGGGAATTGCACTCCTAACTCACAGATGTGTCTCTTGGGTGGTTTGAACCCACCAATGGCTCCTTGGAAGAAAGATTGGTAATTTCCTCATATGCAGTTTATAGCCTTAGAAATCTGAGGGGATGCCATCTATGAGGCATTGAGAGAGGGAGGGAAAAACAGTTCACATTTTTTATTAGTCTTGAGGTAATGGACCTAAGAGCAAATATGTAACACATGACGGGAATCAGATTGGTGGGTTTTCCAGTACGGATGCTGCTTGCAAAGTGAAGACAAATTGCTGGTTTGCTGTCGGGTTGAGCCTGGAACGGTCAAACTGATCCTCTTTGGTGATGGGATATCCTCTTTCTCTGGCACTGGGGTCCTTATATAAGGCTGAACCCACAGGTGGGATGGAATGGGCTCTGAGCTCCTCCCAGAAGCATCGTGACCTGTTCAGACTTGTCCTCATCCAAGTCCTGAAGGCCCAGGATGCTGCTCCCAGCATTTGGCAGGTCATCAGACCAGTGGAAACTGGATAACTGGTCAGCAGACCTGTTTTCCCCTTTTTCTCCCCAGAAGAGCCACGGCTCCCGAGGTATACCACGTATACCACGCAGTACTTGATGGACCAGCCTTTTCTGGCCTCAGGGGACTTGTGGGAGTGGAGGAAAGGGATCAGTGACTGGATTTCATAGCAGAAATTCTTTCCACAACATTTCCATCAAGCAGCAGGTAAATGAGTTCTGCTTGATTATCTCTAGTGGCTAGGAGTGTCCTATCTCCTGTGTTGTCTTCTAACCCAGGGTGTTGTTTTATGTTGTAGGTGTAAGTTGCTGACTGTGGCTCATAGTGACTCTATGAACAACAGATCTGAATGCTGCCCTGTCATGGGCCATCCCACAATCTCCCATGCATCCTTACAGTCACTGTGCCAATCCATCTTGTTTAGAGCCTCCTTTTCACTGACCCTCCCTCATTCCAAGTCCTTTTCTAAGGACTGGCCCTTCCTACCAATATGCCCAAAATATAAGATGAAGCACCCTGGTTGTAATTATTCCAAGATATATTTGTTCTTTTGGCAGTCCACGGGATATGCTGATTCACAGCCTATGGTGCTTTTGGTTTTCTAACTGCACTGCCTGATGGAATAGAGCTTATATCAGACTAATTGAAAGGTCAGATGTTCAAATCCACCAGCTGTTTCAAAAGAGAAAATGGACAGTCTCTTTCCATAAATATTTATAACTTAGGGAATCACTTGCTCTGCACTTGAGAGGTAGACAGTGATTAAAGATGGCAGAAGAATAACTGATGCCTTTGAACTTTGGTGTTGGAGAAGAATACTGAATATCTCACAGACTGCCAGAAGAACAAACATCTGTGTCTTGGAGAAAGTGCAGCAAGAGTGCTCCTTGGAGGGAAAAGTAACAAAGCTGTCATCTCACATACTTTGGGCATGTTGTTAGGAGAGACTATTCTTTGGAGATGGACATCATACTTGGAAAGGTGGAGGGTTGACCAAAGAGAGGAAGACCCTCGGCCAGGTAGACTGACACAGTAACGACAGTAATGGGCTCAAGTAAGTCAGAGATGTTGAGGATGGCTCAGGTCAGGGTTCAGATCTGTTATTCATAGAGTTGCTATGAGTCACTCTTAACTGGATGGTTCCTAACAGCAGTAACAAGGAACTCAACTTGGAGGATTGCTACGAATTAGAACCAACTCAACAGCAATGGACTTAGTTTTGGGCTTTGCTTCTTTTATTAATGATGAAACAATCCTCATTTGCTTCATTTACCTGTATATATGCTGCATCCTCTCAAGAAGACTGTAGCGTTGCATGCCATTGGCCCATTGTACAGATGATGCAATGGAGAGAAAGGGAGGTTAAGCAGATTCCCTGAAGTGCTGTGACAGAAAGTGTGGGAGCCATGGCTGTCATGTGACTCTTTCTGATCCCCGAATCTCTGCTTTGTACTGACTATTGTGCCTCAGGCCTGTTTGCTCCATGACTTTAGGGAAATCCTCTAATTCCTCAGGACCTCACTCTCCTTATCCGAAATGTCACGACACGGAGTTAAGTATTCTCAGAGATTGTTCTTGGGTTTAAAAAACTTGTCCATCAACATCTACTCTTGCAGGACATGTTGACTAGTTAAATAATGTCCTCATCACCACCTTCTGGCCATTTGATCCTGGTCCATTGTTGTGAGGTACCGTAGAGCCCGTGCCAAGTCACAGCAACCCATGTACAACAGAATGAAATCCTGTGTGATTCCGTGCCATCTCCACAACCACTGCTCTGCTCAAGCCATTGTCATAGCCTCTGAGTCCATATGTCTCATCAGGAATATGAGGAAATGAAATGCCAGTTAGTTGGAAGGTTCTTAAAGCAGGAAGTCAAAGGCTTTGGCTTGTTCTTTTTGTACTTTGTTTAATGGAAGATCAAGTTGTCTGAACATAACAAGGGAATACCACTACATAGCTTCAAATCAGGAAAGGTGTGCATACGGGTTGTATCCTTTCTCCATACCTATTCAGTCTGTAAGTTAGCATATCATTTGAAAAGATGGGCTATGTAAAGAAGAATTGTGTCATCAGGGTTGGAGTAAGACTCATCGACAACCTGCCTATGCAGATGACATAGCCTTGCTTAGAGAAAGTGAAGACGACTTGAAGCACTTACTGAAGATCAAAGCCTACAGCTTTCAGTATGGACTATGTTGTTGCTGTTGATTGCTGTCAAGTCGAGCACCACTCAGAGCAACCCAATGAACAAAAGGTCTGAAGCCTTTCTATAACTATCAACATTTACCAAAGTTCAGAGTTTCCAGAGGCATGTTGTTTAGGAAGTGGATGCCACTCCTGCTTCCTAAATGGGTTATAGTTCAACATTAAAAACCAAACACCCTCACCACTGGACCAATAGAAAACTTCATGATAGATGGGAAAGAGATTGAAGGTGTCAATTATTTCATCTTAATTCGATCCATAATCGACATCCATGATAACAGCAGTTAGAAATCAAAAGATGTGTTGCATTGGGTACATCTTATGTGAAGGGCCTCTCCTAAGTGTTAAAGAACAAAATCAGTTCAAAGACTAGACATGCTTGATCCAAGCCATCAGATTTGCAATTGCTTCTTATGCATCTGGAAGTTGGACAATGGACAAGGAAGACTGAAGGAGAATTGATGCTTTTGAATTGTGTTGGTGAACTGTATTCAATTCACCATGGATTTCCAAACAAGGAACCAAACTACCTTGGAGAAGGTGCATCCAACGTGCACCTTAAAGGCAAGAATGGTGAGATCTGGTCTCACATACTTTGGAGGGGCTAGTCTTTGGAGGAAGACATCATGCAGGGTGAGGTAGAGGATCAGTGAGAGAAGACTCTTAAGGGGATAGATTGATACAGTGACAATGGGCTCTGCACAGTGGACATTGTGAGGTTGGCACAAGCAGAGCAAAGTTCCAATCTTTTTATAGGGTTTCTATGAATCACAGTCAACTTGATGGCACTGGACAAGATTACAAATATTTATGAATATGGTGCATTGTTTTGTTTACATTCTGATTCTTGAGCAGTCTCAGACACATTTTGGTTTTTCTTTTGATTTCTTCTTTTTTCTAGTGCATGTAACTTTCTTTCCTGAAATTTGCTCTTTTACCTAAAACCTTTCAATTTCAGTGCAACTGACATCCCAGGTATGAAGGACATCTATGTTAAGGCAGGACGAACTGTGGGTCACACTGGGGAAAGGATGTCATTTGGCTCCACCTCATTCCTCCTGTCCTTCCTCTCCCCCTTGTCTATGGACTCTGTGGGGCGTGGGGTGGGGTGGGGAACACAGACCTTGCGTGCGGATGTTCTGGAGGATGAAGTACAGGTACTCTCCGCAGACGCCTGCCGCCTCGATGAACTCCTCTTGCGTCATGCTGCACAGTTGCAGCCCGCTGATGTTGAAGTGACAGAAGGAGATGCAATTAGCATCCAGCTTATACTGGTCACAGCAGAACTGGAGCCATTCCCACACATGGCGCTTGGTCCAGTACTCGGGGTGGACAGAGGTCCAGTAGGAGTCACACGCTGCAGCAGAGGAGAGAAAAGTGAGTGGCAGCGTCTTCAAAACAGCCTTCGGACTTCTCTGAGGGACACTTAATATATTAAAATCCCCACCCGCCCTCTCAGGATTCATCTTCCAATGAGTTATGGAGGCGAGGTGGCAAGGACTTGGTCATTCTCTCTAACATAAATAATTCACAACTGTCATAGCATTCAATCAACCTGTCAAACAATCAGTGCTTCAATCTCCTCAATAAAATGGGCCTAATAATGACGTCTATGTAGGTAGGGAACTCTGATGGTCTAGCCATTAGATAACTATACTGCTGCTAACTCCTAAAGGTGGCTTCTCTCTAGTGGTTCGAATCCACTTGAGGGAGAAAGATGGTCAATCTACTCCCATATCATTTACAGCCTCCAAAACCCCTCTGGAGGCTCAGTTGTGAGTTGGTTCCAACTGGACGGCAATGAGAGAAAAAGATAGGGTTGTTCTCTGTATTAAATGAATTAAAAGGTTTTTTTGTTTTGTTTTTTTTAAAAAGCCCATTGCTATTGAATTTATTTACACTGATAGCAACCCTGTAGGCAGCTCTGGTAACCTAGTGGTAAGAGGTGCTGCTGTCTCAAAAGCATGCAGTTAGAATCCACCAGCGGACCCAAGGGGGGAAAGAAGGGCACTCTTCTCCTGTGAGATTAACGGCTTCTGCAAATCTGCTAGGAGGTCAGCTATGAGTTGATTCTGACTCAATGGTATACAGCAACAACCATGCATAGCAACCCCCTAAGATAAAGTAGAACTGTCCCATAGGGTTTCTGAGATTTTTAAATCTGTACAGAAGCAGACTGTCTTGTCTCTCTTCCATGGAGTGACTTGTGGGTTCAAACCAGCAGCCTCTCATTTAGCAATAAGCACTTAACCCACCACTAATGGAAACAGAAGTCATTAGAACAGAGCCTGGAAGGCTTTATTGCTAGCATTAACATTATTATTCATTATTATTCAACATTTAGCTGTCTATGAAAAGAAAAAAGATTAGGTACTCATTTTTAGGTAATAATAGTACACATTTCATCCCTCCCTCCAGAAAGTTATAGATGAGAGTCGTAGAGAATTTGACCAAGTTCTCACAGCCAGTCTGGCAGAGAGGGAAATGAATCTGACCTTGAAAGTCATTGCTTTTTCATCTGGTCTACTTCATACTGATCCTCAGGGGCCCATGGAGGGCAGAGATAAGGCATGGTGACAGAGTTAAAGGCAGATGGAGAGCTACAGAGAACAAGAAATCCTGGGGAGAAAGGCAGAAAGAGAAAGCATGGTGCATGTGACTAATTTAGGCGTGTGGACGACAGGAAGGGCCACTGCAAGTCGGAGTCCATAGCAGATGGCAATGATACTATTCTTTGTCCCCCTTTAAGTCCTCTGTTTACCAGCATTGTTTTAAGTGGAGCTGTGGTACCTCAGCCCCAAGGTGGCAAGACCTCCCCCTAACATGCACCGTTGTCCTGTCATGTGCTCCACTCACTAAGCACCCACTGTGTGCCATCTGTGTTATTGTCTTTATTTACATATGTCATCTAGAGTTTCTCAAACCCTCCCAACAATCCAACTCCAACGGATAGGACTGAGCTATGTCACCACTGAGAACACTGAGGCTGCATGAAAACGCAGACTGCTCCCAAGCACTCTCTCTTCCCTGTGTGGAATGGACCAAGGGAAACATAACCAGAGATTGTTGTTAGGCACCAGAGAATCCATAGGCTCCAACTCTTGGCAACTCTATCTTTCAGGCCGTAGAACGAAACAGTGCCAGGTCCTGAGCCAGCCTCACAATTCTTGCTAGGCTTAATCCCACCATTGCATCCACTATGTTTTTGCATATCCTCTACCAAACATGATGCCCTCTCCAAGGATTCCTGATAAAATGTCCAAAGTTTGTGAGACGAGGTCTCATCGTGCTTGCTTTGAAGGAGCATTCTCCAGATTAGACCTCCAGTGGTATAGCTATAGCCCACGTGGAGTTGTGCTGCCAACTCAAAGCCACGCCCCTTTGGAGGTTCAAATCTGCCTGGGCCTCCAAAGGAGGAAGGTGAATGACCTTCTATGCAATTTGTAGCCTTAGAAACACAACAGAGGATCAGCTATGAATTGGTTTTGAGTTGGCAGCAATGAGTTAAGTTGGTGGAGTCATGTGTTATGTGCTAGGCTGCTAACCTAAGGTTGGTGGTTCGAATCCACCAGTGGCTCCATGGAGAAAGATGATCAGTCTCTCCCATAGGGATATATAGCTTCAGAAAGAGAACTAACTTGTAAAACAATGAAAGAATTTTTCTTTTACTTTTCAAAGAGGGGCGTGTACTCGGGGGAGGAGTGAGCGGGGAGAAAAGTGCAACAATGAATGAATGGAAATCCAAAGTCTCTGTAAATGTTCATGGAAATTAATAATAAAAAATATATATATTATATAATAGCTATTTAACAACTAAATAAAATAATTAAACCTAATAAAAAAAGAGAACTGACTTGATAACAATGGGTATCCTGTGGGTGAAGAGAGCAAGGGCCTCTTCTCAGATGCCTCTCTTGCTCACTGACCACTGGCTAGAGGCCCCTGTCTACTTATTGTTGTGGTTGTGTGCTGTGAGTCAGAGCCAACTCATAGCTGACCCTCCAGCAGGCTTTCTGAGGCGATAAATCACACAGGAGATTATCCATCTTTCTATCACAGAGCAACTGGTGAATTCAAACAGTGTGCCTTTGGGTTGGCAGTGAAATGCTTTATCACTAAACCACCAGGCACCATCCCTGCCCCCCCCGCCCCATCACCCCCGAGCTTGTGGAAAACAAAGTCTTCAAGAAAAGTTGGATGGTTTTTCTCATGCTGGTTCTGTGGTTTCATTTCTGCCTTGAGTGAACCTAAAAGGCCTTGCCTTTCCTGGTATTCTGATGAGCGATATTTATGAGCCTTGAAATTCTTCAGCCATGGTCCTGAGCCGGCCCTGACAGAGATGGCTATCAGTGAGGGCGAGTCAGAGGACACAGTTGATTCTTTTTCATGGAAAGGCATCACCAAGTCTCCTTTCCCCACCCTCTCTCCCAACCACTTCCACCCCCTTGTTATTTTCTTTGGCATTTGAAGAGGGCCATATTGTTTCTGAAAGCCAAGAGGGCCTTACAGATTCAGAGAAATGCCCGGGTGGGGAGTGTGCACTGACACTAGGAAGGTGTTGCTGGCAGGGTTCTGTTTCCTCAGCCCTCTCCTTTGAAGCTCACTCACAGAGCCAGCTTTGTGTGCAGCTCTGGCCTCTGGAGGGAAGCAGGAGCCAGAGCCAAGGGCAGCCCTCCTTCCTCAACAGGAAAGCCCTGCCCACAGCCCCCAGAGCTGAACGGAAAATGGCCATTCTCAGAGACAAGGGGAGTAATGTGACCAGAGTCCTTGACGTGGTCTCAGTAGTGGTGTGTTGCCACAGTCCTGATTCTGGTCCTCCTAACAAGCTAGTGAGGAAGGCTGTTGGGGCCTGGTTCTTCCTACCCCTCCACCCCTCTCCACTCTCCCTGTTGCTTCTTGTAACCCTGCCACACATACTATCTTTCCCTCAGGATTTTGTCTTCTCCCAGAGCCTTTCTTTTGTTAGGAGGTGGGGGTCACATTTGCCTTCTTCTAATTCTTGCCATCCTCAAGGCCATAGTTCCCTCACTTTTTCTCAGAATAAATGTCTTCTCCAATTTGTTCTCCAATAAATATCTTTTCAGGAAGGACCATGACCGCTCCTGTTCAGCCTATGAGCTCCCTGAGGCTAGGCTACTGCTCTGCTTTGCTCACCCTGAATGAAATTGCTTAGAACCAAGCTACAGTGCTCAGTGAGTATGACAGGTGCTCAGTGAGTAGAAAGAACTGACCAGAAGGCTGATTAGTTATCTTCACGTTACAGATGAGGTAAGTTCTGAATGGTTATATGATTTGTCTAAGGTCACACAGATAAGTCAGGTAGGGAGACAGGCTGCAAACAATCTTTTGATTGCACATCACTCAGTCTTCTTGGTTAAGAAGAACCAAGTTGGGCAGACATCTTCAAGACTGACTTAAAAAGAGATTTGGATGAAGGCAGAGCAATGCTGTAACCCAGGATACTAGTAGCAACTAGGTTTGAAAAATCAGGAATGATGATGTTTACAACCCCAGCGAATGAGATGAAGAAGACTCTTTTTAATATTTGGAAGAGATGAATTCAGGACAAATGAAGAAGAGGTAATAGATTTGTGGACAAGATTTTCTTAAATAGATTGTATTGTCTGGAAACGTAAAGCGTTTCCTTTAATGCATTTATAAAATTATCTGAAAGTTTTGCAGAAGCTGAGCTATGAGGCCCTTCTGCCAAGGTGGAGATGGTATCCTGGCCTGGTAGGCTTAAGCCAGTTCAGAGGCCACTATTAAGCAGCAGGGTTGCCTGCCCCTTTGAAGTCTGAAGTAGGTCAAGACACTCATTCTAAGGCCAGCTGTATTAGAAAGAAGAGTTGGAGAGCTGTGGAGAATTTATAGAAGCTCTATGAGAATCCACACAGGTGATGCTATAACATAGGATGCATTTACTTTCGAAACAGGCGCTTTAGCTGGTAGAGCTGGGTGGGTGCATTCATGTGTTCACAGGGTCAACAGGTAACATTGGTTCCTGTAGATGACCCTGGGGACTAGGGGTGTTGGGGCTAGAATGTCCATGTCAAGGTGGACGGCTACTGTCCAAGACTAGCTGCCCATTGCCATGTGGGGTGGGGGTTGGGGGTGGGATAGGGGTATGTGTGCATTGTTAGGCCCAGAACTTTGTAAAAGAGATCATAAATTTGATTTTTATTTTTTTAGGGCTGGCTAAAAATGGACTAAAATTTTAGTAAACTTTTAGAAAAAACTTTGAGGTTTGATACAAAAACTCTCCCATGGGCTGCACTCCACACACACTTTTGGATAGTTTTTTTGAGATTATTATTGAGAGTGAATGTGTGAAAGCTTTAAATTTTTTTTAAAAAATTT